TCAGGATAAAACAGCTAATGGATGAGACAAGGGTTCCTCATTTATTGTGCCCAGTTAAGAACCTTCAAGAATGGTTAACCAAATTCCCTAATCGAGGCCCATATGTATTCTCATCACAGGATGGTAAGAAATTGTCTACTAGTCAAATGATAAAATATTTATCTCAGTTGATGTGTCAAGCAGACCCTGGCAAGAAATATTTGGCACATGACACCAGGAAATATGCAGGGTCTGTGGCCTTCCTGCAACATATAAGCCGCAGTCAGGTCAAAGAAGTGGGCTTTTAAAAATCTTCAAAAACCTTTCAAAACAGCTATCTTCATCTATCTCTTAAAGATGCACCACTTGGTACATCTCCAGAACCAGGATCTTCTTCTTCCTCATCAGAATAAAGTGCGAATCCTGACATGGGATATGTAGCTTATAATTTTACCTTCTGGTAAATATTTCCTATTGAGGAAAAATTCCAAATAGGTTTATAATTATTATCTGGACCTACGCTAGTGGAGCCTTTTCTGCAATGTAACCTTCCTCTCCACCTCCTTTTTAGATTTTTTTTTTTAAATCCAGAATGCGATGTCTAGCTTTATTCCTCGGTATGTTAATGCCTAGCAATAACTCGCCAGGCCAACATACAGGCAATTGAAACATCTAATAATTACTTAATACGTAATATTAGAAGGGCATGTTGCTACCTGGCATTTAATTGCAATTCTCAAAACACCCTCATGCACCCTCCATCACACGCATTGCTACCGTCATCTTCTTGCCTGGTGAATCAGTTGTCTGTAAATAGGCACAAAGAAGGCTATGCTAATTTGTGTTGTAAAAGCTGAAATACTAAGTGCCAGGAGGATTTTATATTGGGTATTTATACATCTTAGCATGGTGAGGAAATCGAGTGACTTTTATTCTGATTATGTCTCTCAGATATTGTGTTTGGGACAATTTTTTATACGGTCTGGTCGAGCATGGCGTCCACGGCTCATCTTCTATCTAGGAAGACAGTAGATTGTTAGTGACTAATATCCTCTGCTTTCAAGTCACTTAGTGAATGACGTTGTTTTTCGCCCTTCCGGGCTCATCTTCACTGAAAGAATATACAGTGGGGTATGCTATAACGAATCTAATTGGTTCTAGAACCTTGTTCGTTATAGCACTCGTTCGTTATAGGATTAATCCGTTCCAGGCCCCCAAATACAACCACTTAACACTGAAAAATATAATATAAAATTGTAAAAATTGTAAAAAAGTGCATAAATATGCATCTAAACCCCTGAAATAAAGAATATCATTAATATTTGTAATAAAAAAACAATAAATTAGTAAAAAAAAAAATTTAAATAATGTTCGTTGTAGGAGTTTCGTTCGTTATAGCATTCTCAATTTTATAGGTAAAACCGTTCGTTATAGGAATATTCGTAGTAGGATCCGTTCGTTATAGCATACCCCACTGTATACAGTTGCCCCTCGTTAAAACTGACTAATAGGGTGTCCGTTTTAGCCGATTGTCCGAATTAACCGATTCAGGGGTTAATATTGCATAACACTGCATTATACAGCTATGTGTATGTTTATTTGAGTGCCCCGTCATAGGAGTCCGTTTTCTCTCACTTCAGGACGCCTGAGTCGTAAGTTTTCTCTTAATCTTAGAGTGCACACAGAATTTGATATTGCAACTGGGGTTGCAATTGTTGAGGCAACTTAGGTATGTCTGATTAGTTGGAATATTCAAGATCCATTGTGAGTGATGTTCAACTGTCTTTATGGTTGGTAAAACTTGTCAAGTCTGTCAGTCTGAATGGCATGTGTGAAGCCTTGTGTTTGTACAACCGCTAAATATATAAATATATAATGTTATTGTAATTATCAGAAACACATAGGCATGACAAGGTTTATTACAAAGTGATGAAATGGATACTGTACAGTGGGTAGTCCACAAAACATGTAGCCATGTCTCTTTATTTGAGTGCCCCGTCATAGGAGTTCGTTTTCTCTCACTTCAAGACGCCTGAGTCATCCGTTTTCTCTTAATCTTAGAGTGCACCAGAGACTTTGTTATTTCTTAGAAGTGACACAAAATTTGAAATTGCAAGCCCAATTGCAACTGGGACAATCCCAAAACCAGAAATTTGATATGGACAGTTCAGATTTCGTCCGATTTATCCGAAATCCGGATTAAAGGGGTCCGAATTAACGAGGGTCGACTGTACTGGATATAGATACACCTGTATATATATGTATATATATACTGTATAAAAAAAAAATTCTTTGTCCCAATTATACACGTGCTAGTATGATACTGTATATGTCACTATCCCTCTCTCTCTTCTCATGTTTCTTCACAAAACTTTTTGGGCTTCCGCCCAGGGTTTTCTAATTACTCTCAGCATGCAGGCCAGAGTTAAGTTTTTCTCTTCATAACTCTATTTTATTCATGTCCTCAGTAGCGGGTTCAGCCTTTCCAGGCGAACTTTAACGAGGCTGCTAGTCTTAGTGATTCTGCCGGACGCTGACCTTCCAGTCTTACTAGCAATCTAGAGTTATGTTGGGATGGACCTTGTATCCTCAGTATGGGATATATGAGAACCATTCAGGGTGGAGTTCTCAACCCAATACATCTTGCTAGAGTAATGGTGAACGATGTTAGCCAATGGAGTGCTATGGTAGCAGCTCAGCACTGTCAACCCTTCCGGGTGACTTGATGCTCACTCAGGCATTATCGCTCAAGCTAATTAATTAAAGCGATGATGTTTGTGCACCCTGATTGGCAACAAATAGAGAACTTGGTGATCCCTCAAAATACAAGTGCTCTAAATGAAGTTAGCTTGATAAAGAAATAAATTTCATTGAGCTGAGGGATAATTGAGATAAGACAAGGGAGAGATGTATGATACAATGAGTTAGTTGTTTATGATAGTCACACTGGTGACTTATATAACAATAACAGATATTAATTGAAATAACTTACTAAAATATCACAGTTAAGAGTCATACTGATTATGTTTGGGAGAAAATGTAATCTGCCTTGTATTATATGATACAATGTGACTCATAGTGTTCCTCCTAGTTTAGATGAGTGATGTGCAACTGGAGGATGAAGGACAGTTGTCTGGACTGCTAGAAACTCATAGATTGGAACCGTTGGAATTAAATCTATCTGTTCCCACCTGTGAAAATGTTGCCCAAAGTGGTTCACAAACACACATCCTTCCAAGGACAGGTCCTCTTAATTGTACCATATTGGGTCCTACAACCGTCGTGTCTTGATATGTTGGACTGGTGCCTGCATCCACTACAATTGCAACAAGGATGTCTAAAACAGGTACTGCACCCTCAGTTCGAGATATCCTTGGCACTTCATGCTTGGAGTTTCTCAAAAGATGTTTAAATAGATTGTAGACCCCAAACTTCTATGCAATATGAGAAAGCTTGGAAACTTTTTCAATAATTCATCAGATTAACGACTCCAATCACATTGTCGGAAACAGTGGTGTTAGAATTTTTAGATGTTCTGTTCAGAGTTAAAGGCCTTCAAGGATCGACAATTGCATCTTATAAATCAGCATTGGTTGACCCTCTGGCATGGGGTTTTACTATTATTTTGAACACAAGAATTTATCAAATGCTCAGATCATCCTTTTTCATTCAGGGACCCCCACGGCCTAAGAAAATCCCACCTCGGTCTCTAGATAAAGTTACTAAATTTCTTATGAGACCTAATTACAATATAAATCTGAACAAGGACAGATTGCTCCAGAAGGCAGCCTTCCTTCTAGCAATAGCAACAGGTATGAGAATCAGTGAACAAAAAATGAAAGGGAGGATTTTCAAGCTCAACCTATTAGGATAAAACGGTTAATGGATGAGACAAAGGTTCCTCATGTATTGTGCCCAGTTAGGAATCTTCAATTATGGTTAACCAGATTCCCTAATTGAGGCCACTATGTATTCTCATCACAAAATGGTAAGAAATTGTCTCCTAGTCAAATGACAAAATATTTATCTCAGTTAGTGAGTCAAGCAGACCCTGGCAAAATATTTTGGCACATGACACCAGGAAATATGCAGGGCCTGTGTCCTTTCTACGGCATATGAGCCTCAGTCAGATCAAAGAAGTGGGCTTTTGGAAATCTTCAAAAACCTTTAAAAACAGCTATCTTCATCTATCTCTGAAAGATGCTTCACATGTGGTGGTGCTGGGGTCCACTCCCCCACCTAGTCAATTTCCACAACCAGGACATTCTTCTTCCTCATCAGAGTAAAGTGAGTATCCTAATTGGGAATGTAAATTGGAAAATATTCCAAAAAGTAAATAATTATAATCTGGACCTAAGCTAGTGGAATCCTATTTGTAATGTCACCTCCCTCTCCACCTCTTGCTCAGGTAATCAAAGCTAGACGTCGCATTCTGGATTGGACAAAAAGCCGTTTTTTTCTAAAAACCAATTTTTGTGATATATAGTCCAGAATGCGATGTCGACATCCCACCCTTCTCCACCTCTCGAGAGTTGACATTTGTTTACTGCTCACTCTAGGGCAAGAGATGACTGTAGCAATGAGTGTGATGGAGGGTGCGGGAGGGGGTTTTGAGAATTGTAATTAAATGCCAGGTAGCGACGTGTCCTCCTAATATTACATATTACATATTAGATGTTTTAATTGCCTGTATGTTGGCCTGGCGAGCTATTGCTAGGCATTAATATATCTAGGTATAAAGCTAGATGTCGCATTCTGGACTATATCACAAAAACTGGTTTTTAGAAAAAAAAACGTATTTTTTTCAACGATTTTTTGGCAAAAACCTCCTAGGCTGAGCCTAAGTTTTCATGCATGTGTGTGTCTCAGGCTCCGAGGTTGAGAGGGTTAATGTCCTGGCCATGGGACTGAATGGATATGTCCTCTGGTAGAAGTCAAGCCTTATTAGTATTGCAAATACCACTGTTTAGTCTAAAAATACACACAGTACCCTGCAACAATCCACAAAGCTTTGTCCCTACCTCATATAATTTGTCTCCTTCTCTGAAAACATCAGAGACACCTGTTGGTGTATCATCAATGTGGTAAAGTCGTTCTTGACGGTCAGTTTTAACAGCACCTGAAAATTAAAATGTCATGAAAACACAATGTTATTAGATACCAGTATATCATTGGAATTATTATATTTTTATTTTTTATGGTGAATAGCCCACCCGGGCACATGTCATCGACCCACAATGGGGCCTTGGGGGGAAAAAAAGGAATAAAAAGAAATTAAAATAGAAAAGAAAAAGATTATATCAATCTACACCACGAAAATGCCGGAAAACAAGCTTTTTAAAGTGAGACATTGTATGAGTATGGAAACGAAGAAGAAGGCAGAGCATTCCACAGTATGGCTGTGAGGAAAGAACAATGTACTGTAAAAGGTTATTCTAGTGTTACCGACATCCACAGAGAAATGGTGGGCACCGCGGCCAAGACAAGTGTAACGAGTGCAAGGTCTTGCCGGCGGTACACATGATGACAAATCCACCGAACATTGCCCGTTAAAGTACAGTACCTGTAAAAGAGAGAGAGTGAAGCAACATTGCAGCGAAGGGAAAGGGAAAAAAGATTATCTAACAGTTGGACAGAAGAAGAGCCACCCCCAGATATGAGAGCAGTAATGTTGTGGATGTGTGGGTTCCATGACATATTCGGAGATGCTGCACAGATCCGCATTGATAGACGAAAAGATATCAGCTCTAGAAACAGATCTAGTTTGAGAATTAAGGGGAAGGGAAAAATGTGAAGAAGAGTGAAGAGTAGAATCATCAGCAGAATAATGGATACAATTAGTCTTAGTATGACGCAGATCATTGATAAAAATAAAGAAGAGAGTACGTGAAAGAACGGAACTCTGTGAGACACCACTATTGGTAGAAAAAGAACAACTGATTGATCCCTCGACAACAACTGCCATGGATCGGTTCTCAAGGAAGACAAAAATTAGAGAACAAAGTGGGGGAGAGAAACCATAAGAGGGAAGTTTAGAAAGCAAACACTTGTGCCATACCCTGCCAAATGCTTTGGAGATGCTGAGGGCCACGACGAAAGCTTCCCCATAATCCCTAAGAGACGATGACCAAAGATGGGTGCAGTAGAGCAGATCACCAGTAGATCTCGCCTGGCAAAAGCCATACTGGTGATCTGACAAAAGAGAAGGGCATTCAAGGTGACGGAGAAAATGAGAGTTTAAGATAGTTACAGGAATTGGAAATGGTCACCCTTCTTTGGGATGGGCTGAACCGAGGCATGCTTCCAAGAAGAAGGAAAAGTTTGGGTTTTGACGCAAAGGCAAAAGAGATAGGCAAGCACAGGGGCTAGAATTTCAGCACAGTTCCTCAGAACAAGAGGGGGTATTCCGTCCAGTCCATGTGCCTTAATCACATCCAACATGGATAACACACCAGCACCCCTATGAGTGGAGATTATAGGAAAGTGCATAGGTTCAGTAGGAGGAGTAGGAGGGATAGAGTTGAAATCGCCTAAGGTGGAGTTAGAGGAGAAAAAAGTGCCATAGAGATTGGCTTTATCTGGTCGGAAGAGAGGAGGAAAACAGGGAGTGCAGAAGTTATTACAGATGATTTTGGATAAGGACCAGAAGGATTTACTAGAAGAAGAGTTAGTCAGGACAGCGGTCTTTCTTTTAAAAAAATTCAAGTTGGCCCTACGAAGAATAGCCTTACAACGATTCCTAGAAGTAATGAAAGAGGATTGGGTAATAGGAGAAGGAGACAGTTTCATAACTTGATACGCCCTATCTCTCTCCCTGCATATAAGAAAACAGGTGCGATTAAACCATGATTGTAATGTGAAAGTTTTGGTGGAAGATGGGATAAATGCAATCATACCACCCTGCATAACCCCAGCAATGCTGTCAGCAATTACCAAGGTACCCCGAGTGTGTTTTGTGTGTGTCTACACACACACACGCACACATATACAGTGGTCCCTCGGTTAACGAACACAATTCGTTCCAGAAGGTCGTTTGTTAACCGAAAATTTCGTTAACCGAAACCATTGTTTCAATGAGATTTTGGGTAATAGGTTCCAGCTCACCGAAAATTACATTCAAAGTAAAAATAAATGCAGTAAAGTACACTTACTTTGAGGTGTGTATGTAGAAGGCTCCTGGTTGATGATGATGATGATGGGAATTAGAAGTGGGGGTGGAGGAGAAGGGAGAAGAGAAGGAAGTGGGGGTGGAAGAGAAATCACCCCATGCTTCATGCCGTCATTTCACCCATAAAATTTTTTGTTCACTAGATGTAATTCAAGATTATTTTCTTTAAATCAACACTGCACTGCACTATATATTGTCAGTATGTAAAATAAATTTCAGAATGACCAATAATTGTACTGTAAAAACGTAAAAATAGTTTATGTTCAAGAGAGCCACAAGCAAGATGTTACCTCCACTGACCAGAGATACAAACTGATGCCTTGTTGGGTGAGTCAAGTGGCTGATTGGCGCACCAAAAACTAGTTTCCTGTACTGCAATTATGTGAAATAAGTGTTAAAATGACTAGAAATTTTAATAAAAAACTTGTAAAATTATTGAATTGTACAACCTTCTTGATATTTACTCAAATGGGAACGAACTTAAGCCCTAGAACAGATTACCGTATTGGCGGACTAATATTCCAGCTGGTGAGCAAGCGAAAACATGTTGATATGATTTCGTAAAAATTTTGTTAACCGAATTTTTGTTCGTTAACCGAACTGAAGATTCTTATGGAAAGTAATTCGTTAACCGAAATTTCGTTAACTGAGGCGTTCGTTAACCGAGGGATCACTGTATACAATACATATATACAATCAGAAACAAATGTAATAAAAATGTTGAGTCTAACCTCAAGTCCACTCCGTGCTTTGTGATTATAAAACACAGAGTGGAATTTTTTATTTATTTATTTATTTTTTTTTTACGGGAATTAGCCCACCCGGGCACAGGTCAAACGACCCACAATGGAGCCTGGGGGGCGAAAAAAAAAGAACGGAAAGAAATTGTAAATATAGAAAAAAAAGTTATACTGTATTAAAATAGAAAAGAAAAAGATTATATCAATCTACACCACAAAAATGCCGGAAACATATTTAATACATTTGTTTCTGATTATTTGTGAGAGGATTTGTATATGTTTTGTGTGTGTGTGTGTCTACACACACGCATATATACAGGTTGTACCTCTCTAGTCCGGCAACCTCAGGACCTGACCGGTGCCGGTCCATGGAAATTCACCCTTTTCCTGGATAGATAGTGATTTGTGTATACACTTGGAAGCACTAGCACCACTTTCACTGCTTCGTGGTCTCTTTGAAGACATATTGAAGGATTAAATGTTGTACAGTAGGTTCTCAAATTTCGCGAGTTTTTAATTCGACGTTTTTTATTTGGACACAAAAAAAAATAACTGCACAATTTAAAATTTAGACGGCAAACACTCAAATTTCGATGGGTTTGAGCGGCCCGCCAACGTTCAGACACGCACAATTGTGTAAACAGCGTCATTTCTCGATGTACAAAACATTCATTATTGTTTATTATTGAATGTCTTTTTGATTGAATTAATGTTTATGTGTGCAAAATGAACAATACAATTCATTAATAATAAGTAGAATATTAAAACACACGAGGAGATGAGACAGTATTGATTTCGTTGTTTAAAAAACCAGTGACTGACTGGTTCTACATATAAAACTGAAGAAAATAAGACCCTGGTTGCAGCTGTAGTAAAATCAATATGGTTGTTTTAAGTAAAGTTATATCATGTTAATAAATGGAACAATGGAAGTAGCTAACCATTAATGGTAAAAAAAATAAGAGAGATCACGTATGTAAGTGCGCACATGTGAAAACATATCGTCATTACATAAGACTATGAAAGCAACACTTATTTACTGTTCATATATGTTTTAATTAATGTTTCTTTATTTTTTTTATTTAATTAATGTTTATGTCTGCAAAATGAACAATACAATTCATTAATAATACGTGGAATATTAAAACACACGATGAGACGAGACGGTATTGTTTTTGTTAATGTTTACAAAACCAGTGACTGATTGGTTGTACATATAAAACTGAAGAAAATAAGACACTGGTTGTAGCTGTAGTAAACTTTATATGGTTGTTTTAAGTAAAGTTATATCATGTTAATAAATGGAACAATGGAAGTAGCTAACCTTTAATGGTAAAAAAAAAGTGAGATCATATATGTAAGTGAGCACATGTGTAAACAAATCGTCATTACTCTACATAAGAATATGAAAGCAACACTTACCGTATATCTCGGCTTATAAGACGGAATTTGAACATTAAAAAAATCTGCCCAAAGTAAGGGGGTCGTCTAAACCACCAAGTATATAATTCTTACCTCTTAAATATTGTGGTTTAGTGTGTACGGAGTGGTGATGGAAACATAGTAAGCCACTCACAAGGTCTTACCACTAATTATTTTATACTGAAACTTACGTTTGGCAAGCTGGATTCAAATTAAGATTACCGGTATATTAAAATAATAAAAATGTATTATAAACCTGTCTAACATACCGTAAAAGAGAGTTATACCCCTGTAATAAACACAGCTATCATCACACACCCCTCCCCATGCCCCCCCCATTTGCCAGTGAGGAGACAAGAAAGGGAAAGTGACCGCGAGATTGGGCTAATTTTAGCCGTGGAGGTGGTCAGTAATGCATATCGGTATATTTACTGTTAATAATACTTCTCCTATAAATAATGAATTTAAAATTTATTTTTTTACAAGGAATATTCAGTAAATGACTGCATTAATTCTTGAAACTACCAGTTAAATACAGACGCTTAAGTGACGTCACTAGTGTTTACACTACACCAGCTGGTAACATTTGATGCCATTACTTGAAGCGAATTGGCCTTATTTTAAGTAACTAACCATAAATAAATACAAAAAGTAAAAAAAAGATCAAAAGTGAGAAATAATATACTATATGTATGTTGTGTTGTCAAAGTTAGAGGAACAATTCAAACTGCAATTGTGTGTAAATGAGGCAGAAAGTCAGGTCAGCGCTGAACCTGGGACTTGGTCACA